GCAATTAAAAATATCGTTTTTTTTTTTTTTTTCTAATACAAATACACAATAATTTTTAAATGGTGATGTCTAATATTCTCATCTATTTTCAATTTTTACATTTATGACATTCATATGCCACATCCACTTAGACGATCTGACAAGTGTTATTCTAAAGCGGCAGTGATCCTGTGTTACTTGGTAATGTATACCATATAATACTTTCTTTTCACTTTTCAAACAAACCAAAGGTTTCATGTTTACGATATGTATGGATTACAGCCTAAAGAAAAATTGCTTAATTAACTGTTATAATTAATGCTCAACACTGAAGTTAGAAGAGTAATAGAATAGAGAAATATATTATAACGAAAATATAATCTGCTAACGAATGCAAAAAACTGAGAAGTGGTGTTAAAAATCTGTGCCCAATAATCAATGCAATGCATATGTAATTTACAAACTTCATAAAATTCTGTGACCCACAGTGGACTTATAATAGTGTTGGCTGCCTTATGTTCCAGTCCTTAATCTTAAAGTGCTTTGGCCTCAGAATTCCCTTATCTTCATCTTTTTAGTCAAATCAATTTATAAATACATCCATCAAACTAAATTTAATCAACACAATATAAAGGCAAAATATTAAGCTTTTATGAACTCGGTTGTGTGTAACAAATGTGTGTGGTAGAAGCTTTAGTTTCAAAACTTTTACTTATTGACACAATTGGATCTGCATTTACAGAAACATTTAAGCTTATATACTAAAATATTCATCTTCTGAACACAGCACCCACCCTGTTGACCAGATTTCTAACAATATTCATCCTTTCATGGCTGTAAATTAACCAACATGAATGAAGCTGTACCATCACCAGCATGTTATCTATTCTTTCAAGATTCTCATTGGTTTAAGGCATATGGATAGACAACAAATAGATAAGAAAATATTATAGATATAGGTATAAATTTCAAATATTCCTTAAACTTTTCATTATAGGTATTTCTAGCTTTGGAATGTAAAGTTAGGTGAAAATGCTCAGGACTTTGTTCATTTTCAGACCAAGAAACTTTCAGGCAACCACTTCTTAACAATAACCATTTATAAAAGTACTTGAGAATCACATTTGACATCTAAACCAGGAGGATGTCAGTGCTAATGTAGGGCATTGTACAACAAATGGATAGCCCTTTTTCATAATCAAATTACCAACAGAAGACTGAAAGGCAGATTACAATTTCCAACTGTCATACTTGATTTATTTATCAATCAAGAAATATAAATGTGTGGATTTTCAAGATGAAATAAAGCAACTAATTATGTGCTTAAGATTTACATACAATGTTTACAATCAACTACTGTTTCTAAACCTCTTGCTTTGGATTCCTTATATATATAAAACATAAAAGCAAAGCTTAACAACTGCACATTCAGATTTCCAAAGAAGTAAGCATTTTCTTCTTACTCTAGTATTAATGGAAGAACAAAAGTAAGAAGGACAAAAGAAAAATAGACCAGGAACTTCATGAGATCCTGATGGCATTTTTACAAGCATCCCATGGCAGCCTTACAAAATTAAGTCATATATTTTAAAAATTTCCCAAAAATCTCCTTCTACACTGTTTAAACACTTTAATTAAAGCTTCTACAAATTCGAAAATGTGCTCCGTGTCAGTAATCAAACATTGTCTTAATCAATATCAGCATCACTACAGCTGCCTGAGGTATGGGACATTCATAGGATAATGTCAACAAGGGAAAGGAGAATCCACCACATGTGATCATAAAAGAGGACAGCTGAACAAATTTCACAACACTCTTTAAAGATACAGTAAGTCGCAATTCAGTAAAAAAAGGCTTACGCAAATTAATCATTCAAGTTAATAGGCAAATGAAAAAATAGTCAAAACACCAAATTCTTTGAGTTAAATACTGTTTCCAGAGAACAAAGAACCTAAGTACAAATTTCAAGTAGTTAGCCCAATTAACATGAACTAGGCTACTGTTCGCAGCTCTATGCACAGTTTCTTTAATCCCATACAAGCTCATGTAGTATCTTTTAAAGAATGGGACATGACACTACATTCTAATTTCTATTTGAATTGAGATATAAATCCATGTTCCAAATCCTTTCAGAAAAGAAAGAAAGAAAGAAAGAAAAATTACAATGACGAGAATCACCTTCCTTAGAACATGAAACCCAGGCAGCTCATCTATAACAACCATGACTGTTTGCATTTGTCGATACTCCACATGGCACGGAAGGGGTTTGTGTGTGTGAAACATGGGTATGTTTTTCTTAAGCGCTCGAGGGAGGAGCCTCAGAATCCACTAAGATGTCCTTCATGTTGCCTGGCCTTGTACTCTGTGCTGCTGCCATCATATCCTCCCTGGACCCTCTGTAGGAAAAGACAAAGATTTTACAATCCTGTTTTTGGTGACTCAAGGAGCTAGAAATGGGGGGGAGTGGCTTTTAAAATGTATATTCGGGACATTGTTCTCATTCAAACTTTTGAGGGATATTACTTGCCTATTGTAAGCATTTATTTAGTATGATAAGACTACCCATCAAAGCTGGTACTTAAAAGTAAATATACTAGTAGTTTACTCTTTACACATAATTCACTTTAATTAAATAACAATCACTAAGGTTAAATATTGATTATCTAAAAGCTGGGGTGTGTGTGTGTGAGTGTGAGTTGTGAGTGTGAGTGTGAGTGTGAGTGTGAGTGTGAGCGTGAGTGTGAGTGTGCATGTGTGTGTGTTTATATGTAATACATGTATGTATGTATGTATGTATGTATGTATGTATGTATGTATGTATGTATGTATGTAATGTATGTATGTATGTATGTATGTATGTATGTATGTATGTATGTATGTATGTATGTATGTATGTATAAATGTATGAATGATTGAATGAATCAATGAATGAATCAATGGCGTGTGTGTGTGTGTGGGGGGGGGGGGGCATGTGTGTGTGTATTTTTCATGTATGCTGATCAACTGACTGAGTGAAATAACCTACAGAAAACAGAAGCAGAAATTGCAATTACTTTCTGAGTACATCTACCTAATGGCATTCTTGGTCATTCAAAGATTAATTAAAGAAATAAAAATTCTGATAACCACACAGTTAACTCTCCGGAAGAACCTTCTAAAAAAAAAAAAAAAAAAAAAAAAAAATATACAGATTTCGATCAGCTGCCCATCACTCACTGATTGTTATGAGAGTTAATTGTACACCTTTTACACACAACTGCTGGTACATGCATTGTCCACCATTAATTTTCAGTTGCACCTTGACAGCTCCATAAGTGCTCAGCCACCGAGAAGTTAATTAGTAAGCTTACATGGCCTCACCTAGTTTTCCCTCTTTCCTTGAGTTTTTTATGCTAATATCAATGTTATCATTAACATTATCATTATAATCATTATTATTATTATTATCGTTATCATTATCATTATCATCATTATTACTATTATCATCATCATTATTATTATCATCATTATTACTATTATCACCAATTATTACTATTATCATCATTATCACTATTATTATTATCATTATTATTATTATCATTGTTATCATTATCATTAGTTCCATCCTCATTATTATTACTATCATCATCATCATTCTTATCATTATTATTGACACATGATTATTATGATCATGTTATTGACAATATCTATAGAAAAAAATCTGATAATTAAGGAAAAGGGCAAACAAGTGATACATATAGAACTAGTAAAATTACTCCTTAGACTAAGCACTTGTGAAGCCATTTATGAGTATAAAAAAATAATCAAAATCACTGTGGACGAAAATGTATCTATAGCCGTACCAGCATCAAAGGATCTATAAATGATTCATGTAAGCAGTTATGCGGCAAGGGTATTCAACTAGATCTATTTCTATATATACATTTATTTTTTAATCCATAAATAAAAAGTTACCTTGCTTTGAATTTTTGTAATACTATTTAACTGCATTCCTTACTGAATAGTAGATATATGGGTATAAACAAAAAAGAATATCTTTGATGTCTTTATTCTGACTCAGAAACCTTTTCTGTTTCA